GTTGTGGGCTATCATTTTTTTTTCTTTTTCTTTCTTTTTTTTTTCTTTCCCTCCCAAAAGGGGGGGCCGGGCCGGGCCGGTCCCCCCCCCCCCTAAATCCGCCCCTGCTACAGCAGCCTCCAGGGACAGGAGGAGGAACAGCCAAACAGTGAATTTCTGGAGGAGGCAAACTAAAATGCATATAGGGTGAAAGTTAACCTCTAGGGCCTAGATGTATAATAATATGCCTCCGACTGATTTAATTGTAATGTTGTTTCATGATATCTGTATTGCTCCAATTGTTTAGAATTTTCAGAATGAGTGAAGACTTAAGAAAGCGGCTTGAATTCAAAAACAGAGGTGTCCGAAATGCTGCCATTGAAAAAATCAAAAGCCAGATAATAAAAGGACTAGCAAAAGCAAAGATTGAAGGCCTTGCCGAAGCAAAAACTAAAAAGGTACTGTATTGCATCATTCTACAAACACATGCTAGTTAATCGAAAAGTCTACTGATTAATCTCTGATAAGTTAGTATAATACATACTCCAATTTCTGATGATGACATAATTAATGTTGAAATACTGAATCCTGACACGATGGCGTACATTTCGATACTTGGAGTATGTATTATACTATCTTATCTGGTGCTAGTTATTAACATAATATTCCAGTGGGTCTGTGACAAACTTTTTCATTCTTCAATGCCCAGTAATAGCAGATTCAGAAATTTGAAATAGAAGGGCCGAGTGATTAAATTTTACAGAGAGAGAATTTAGGAAATGTTATGTCTATGGCATGTCTAGATGGCCAGAAATGTCACCTTCAAACTCAAAATTTGAATTTAATTTTTTTCCCCCCCCCCCCTGTTTTTTAATTTTTTAATTTTGAAAATCTGCTTAAATGCATCCACTTATGCATCCCAACATCTTCAATTTTACATGTACCATAGTTCATTGGGTATAAATAAGTGTGCTACATTAAACACAAAATTGTGTAGAATGTGGTGGATGAGCTTATATCCGAGGACCGAAACTGCAAATGATAGTGACCCTGCAGGTGGCTAAATATGTCTAGCCTAAATCATACCGTGAGTCAGGAGTCTGACCTCACAAAAACAGACGTGGAGATGTCTCGAGTTAAAACTGAACAAGGAATAGCCAACTGAAGGGCTTTAACTGTACTGTTATAAAGTCCTTTTCTAGTGCATTGCTAAGTTTTCTATGAATCCAAAATGGCATTGAAAAATTGTTCGACTTAGATAAAATTCGATTTACAGATTGGTAATTAATAAAAACACAACAATTTCGCATGTAAAATAAGATCAACTTAGAAATTATTCAAATTAGGTGAAGTCAACTTAGGCAAGTTTAACTATATATCAAACATATAATGTAATATCTGAAAAATACATTTTATTATTTTTGGACTTCACAGATTCCAGAACTTGAATTGCTTTGGGATCAGTGTCACATAGAATGCACACATGTGAGTCATGCATGTTGTAGCGCCCTCACATCACTGGTGCTTACATCTCACCTGGATTTGGATGATGTACTGCGAGGCTTCCTGAACTTGTATCCATCTGCAACCGATGCCACTGGAATTTGTAGAGGCATAACAGACCTACTTGTCATGCAGACAAGTGCAGTAGTTCATGTCGTTCGATCAAGCAAATCAGAATATAGGAATCCTTATAAAATCAGGTAAGGGATGTTTAAAACTATTTTCAGCACAATGTTGGGTACACTGGTCCTGTACTCTGGAATAATTTAGCACCATCAACTCAGTTGATTTAGCACCATCAACTCAGTTGATTGTAGAGGCATAACAGACCTACTTGTCATGCAGACAAGTGCAGTAGTTCATGTCGTTCGATCAAGCAAATCAGAATATAGGAATCCTTATAAAATCAGGTAAGGGATGTTTAAAACTATTTTCAGCACAATGTTGGGTACACTGGTCCTGTACTCTGGAATAATTTAGCACCATCAACTCAGTTTCTGTGAGGTCGTTTACCAAAACACTCTGGAATCAACTCGTTTCGCAATACTAAAATTAACTTTTTTCACGATCGCGACTCTCAATGGCCGTATTCAACTGGTTGTTCTTCATTAAACCACGCCCACCTGTGCAGTGGTAAAATCCTACTTAACAAAAGACGACCAGTTGAATAGAAAACTGGTAAATACTTGACAAACCAAAATGGCTGTATAGTTACCGCAATACACGCTGCGTATTATCAAGGCTGCCTCGGATTGTGGCAGTATGGGTTTTTTTTCGTAAAAAAATGTTTTCATCCAGTTTTTGAATTCTGTTAGCCTACAATTATTTTTTGAC